ATAAGTATATGGAAAATGTGAGATGTAAAAACTATAGTCCACTTGATAAATTATGTGGAAATAAAACCTATATTTTTCATCATGTATATTAAAACTCATTTAATGTAGGTATAACCCAGACAAACCATATTATAATCACTTATTGTGTACGCCACAAATATAAATAATTCCAAATGAACAGCAGGAAATGAAACACAATAAACTTACTAGTAMATGAAATCCTATATACTTTACAAATTGTAATGTAAAAGTGAATGCTGGTTCTCCATTGTAGCTAATTGTGGAAACTGAAAAACTATGATATTAAAAAAAAACTATCAATTTCATGAATAAGTTTTTATACAGTATAGACAATGCAAATATATCCATAAGAACTGGCACAAAACAAGTTGTAAAATGCAATAAATATGTTGCAATTAATATATAACATCTGAGTAATATTCACACACATGAAAAAAACAAATATTTCAGAGGGAAAAATGGCTCCATGCATATAGCAATATAATAAAGGTATTCCAGCATTATGTACACACATGTAGTAGAAGCAATTATTTCACTTTCTATATGATACACTTGGAAAGATAAAGTAATTCTATTAGAAATTCTATTTTAGTGACTGGTATAACTATACAAATWGYAGAAATAYAAAACATTTATTATACTATGTTTTTATTYTCAAAGCTAGAAAAATCATCATTCTCAAGATCTGAAATCCCATCATTCCTTAGAAACTCAGGAAATCTCTTATTAATCAATTGCTTGCTTTCACTCTTTCTGTGTCTCTCTTTTAGATTCAGCATTCATATTTATACCACTTCAATATACCACTATACATTTCTCTATTTTATTCATAAGCCTAAGATTTAGCTTGCATCTAATATTAAAAAAATCCTCTATTGCCAGAGACCATAGTTTTTATAAATGGATAATCATCTAAAATATCAACTATAAATCTAAATAATTATGATATTACCCAGGACCTACTCCTCAACAGTTGTATGGCCTGTAACTTATTTTTTTACACAAACAAAAAATTCTCCATAGAATGGGACCTCAGTCTTACTATGTTTCCGCTGCCAGTATCTGACTCTAGGTGGAAATTGACACTACTCTCATTTTCACTGGGCTAGGATCTCTCCTGAGATCCTCACAAACCATAAACCTTAGTCCTTTCATCCCTCCTCAAATGCACTGGTCACAGAATAGTTTGGGGAAACATTTCTGTTGAGGGGGAGCAAGKAATGAATTTTATATACTGCCAAATACAAATATAGACAGCCTCATAACAAATGAATATAAACACTGCTAATTAAAATAAYGGTCATCCTTTGGAAGTTCAGATCTCATCTCTTAAGAAGCATTTAGTTAACAGACCTAGTTGGGCTTGAAAACCATGGATACTGTGAGAATAAATCCACTTTTTATAAAATAAACTCATAGCTTAAAGTTCTGTAGTGTTATGGATTTGCACTTYGAATTACTTCTTTTAAATCCAGTGAGCCTGAATTCAATGTCCATGGGGGGGGGAATTCTTTCTATTAAACTATTAAACAAAAAGCATTTCAATACAGTACCTCTCAACATGTATACATTATCTTTCAACATGTATAATTATTAAGTAATTCAGAACAGTTATTTCTATTGACACTAATATTCCATTAAACCCATCTACCATGATCATTTTCTTTATAAGCATGATCAATAGTGATATTAACACCAAAAAAGTTCATAGTGGGTAACTGAACTGAACTATTTGTTCAGAGGGTACAGAAA